CTGAGAAACACAAAACAATTCTCTACGCAGGTACAAATGAATAGAAAGAATTTGACACTGTTAGTTTTTGTAACTTCACATTTTATTTTACACCGGGTAATTTAATTTTGAAATTTTATTCAATACAGTCGGCCTTCACCTAAAAGTGAACAGTTACCAATGAAATAATTCCAAACGACCATTACCTTCCTAAGCATAAGAGAATGACGCTAGTCGATGAGCTTTGCTGCCTCGCTAAGAGTTTTGATATGGATTATAAAAACCTCTCGATCTTTATAAATTTTAGCATTCAGTTCCGGGAAAACTTGAACCGATATTGTTTACTACAAAGAATAAAACTGCAGGTCAAACTATTTTGCGACAGTCACGGTAAACGTGACGCACATGAAATACATGGGAATATTCACATACTGAAACTTACTATGAGATTACTGTGATTAAAATTGTGATTGATTAGTATGCCTTTGCCAAATTCTGCCATTTCTGCTGAGTCAGGTCCAAATATACTTATTTGCCTCAAAAATATAAAAGTGTCTGCATAATAATTTAACAGTATAACAGAGATAGGATACATGTTCAAGACCTTAGGCCTAGCCTGTTTCGGGTGGCTGAGTGGCCATGGCCCTTCTTAAAATTTTCAACATTATTTTTTTCAATGCAATTTTGCGAAGTTTGCAGTGAAACATAAATTCTTACGCTTTTTCCATCACCATTTTACTCTATTCCTGAACGATTTCCTAAAAACAGACTTTTCCTGGCTTGCTCATTCAATAATCCTTTCACCAAATGAACCAACCGAGTTAAATGAAAATGTGCGCTTGTATACCTTGGATAACAAATTCGACAGCGAAGTAAGTCGGTAGAGAGATTCTTTAAAATATTGTTAGATATCAGTGACTGCTTTTATCTAGTCTTGTTGGGAGCAAAAGGCACGAGTAAGCGAAAAAATAAAATGGTCCCCCTAAAAGGTTTGGGCTGGCTGCGCTCTTGGCCTAACACAAATTTGCTACATCACAAATATATCAGCAGTTCAGGACTGATGCGTTATAATGGAGCAACAGACATGAAATAGCGTAAAAATACGTATGAAACTCTTAGTACAATACACAAGAGGGGCGGCACAACATCGATATGTACACTAGGTCCATGTCCCAGGTTCCGGCGTGAAGAGATGAAAATAGGGTATAAATCGCCAGTTGATATATTTTTACACTAAATCTTACGAAATAAGTAAAGATAACGCAGGCCATGTTAAAAAGTGTATTATACCTCAATGGAAAGCTTGTTGGCTATTGGCAGTTTTCTAAGCTTCATTATCCTGAAGTTTACTTACTATAATAAAATAGAAATGTAACAACAACTTACAATATGCAACGGCTGTACTGCTTCATTATCCTGAAGTTTACTTACTATAATAAAATAGAAATGTAACAACAACTTACAATATGCAACGGCTGTACTGCACGCTAAATAGATGACACAAAACTCGATTAGCCACGTGACTACTACCGTCCTCAAAACGCATGTTTATGGTGCCACGTAGGCAACATTAGGTGGCGCTACTTCAATTTCACCACAATCTTCCACTTAGCATGATGCCCTATAACAGGGGTGGGCAACCCCTGGCACGCGTGCCGAACTTGGCACGCGTGTCCATTCATTCGGCACGCGAGCGAATCATCAGAAACAAGATCATTCTTCTTCAGATAAAAAGTTTCGAGGCTCTGAATTATTTGATGAAACTAGGTGTTCATTTATTCATTATTGTATGGTGACCAATTCGGTTATTATTCTGACTGCTTTTGCCCTTTACATGTGCAGTATGGCCATCGAAGAAATATATTAAGGCGTAATAAATGAGTGAGCTCTCGAGAAATTTTGTCGAGAATAGCGCAGTATTAATTTGGCTGCATTCTTACGTAATATAGTTCGTCTGTGCCACCCTTTTCTTCATTTCTGCTTGATTTATGAAGTTGTACAGCTCATGTTGGTTAGTGTTAATTGCTAACTTACTGATATAAATTGATTTCGAAAGAAATATAAGCGATTAGAGAAGGGAATATGGTACAAACGAAAATTGCGGAAAACGAACTATTGCGTGCTTGGGAAGCCATCCCCGAAAATTTGTCGTGTCCTTAAAACTTCGCAATCGCATTACTCTCCATGTTTTCATCTAAATATCGTCACGCTAATAACCGAATTGCGTAAGTCATTTTTGGCGATTTTGAGTTTTTTATAAAATAGGTATTTATGTAATGCTGCGCATCTGTCTGTTACCTCAGATTCTATTTCAAGAATTCTGAAACCCATAAAAATGGAGATTTAGTATGACATGCACATTTGTGCAATTGTTTCGTCATAATGAATTATCATTGTTACAGCAGTACTATTGTGACGTCACAAAGGCAAAATAACCTCAGCTAAGTATTTTTGGGTTTTTGCATCTCGGATTCTAGGCTTAGTGCGTATTAATTTGAATTTATACTACAGTATAGGAAGACGTGCACTTTTGATATTTACTGTCCGAGGTCCAATTCACCTTGGTTTGCTTTATATGGGTGCATTGCTGTTTTTATTCTTTATATTTAATCTTAGTCTTATTTTCGGTGGGTGTGCAGAACGTGTTATATTGATGAAATATATATTTTTAAACATAAAAATAATGTAAATTGAAACTGATTAGCTATTTTGGAGATTAGACATTGTAGATAATGAGAATTACATTCGTTTTTGGAATGTTTAGTTTTCAGGACTGGTGCATATAGCAAAGTTGCAAAATTGCGTATGTCCCCAAGTTAGAGACACATTTCTGCCTAAGTCACAGTGTGCGATTATGACGTCACTTAGCTGCGTCATACAAATTAACTTAAATCCGGCTACGATCAAAAAATTGAACCATGGTAAATTATTGACTCCCAATGGCATAACAATATCATTAGGAAGTTTTTTACGTTTTTCTCAAAACTGCTAAAAATGACTGACGCAATTCGGTTATTAGCGTGACGATATGCTTGTGAATATCAGTTATGGACTCGATTCTCGTAACAGGAGTAGCTTGAAAGATGAAACCAGTACTGTAGTTTGTGCATTTGTTTGAAAGTTACAAAATATAAACCCAATGTTAACTCTCTATTAGCGGTAATGCAGCAGCAAAAGTCTCACTGATATTTTCCCTAATTATGAATCTGCCTGTACATGTTTAATAGGTTTATTATTGTGTATTTTTGCTTTAAAAGTAGCAAAGCATTGTTTTTAATTTTGGTAGGCACGCGAAAGAATTTTGTCGTTAAATTCAGCTGATTTTGGCACGCGAGCCGAAAAAGGTTGCCCACCCCTGCCCTATAACAATTAGGCCGCGAGACGAGGCCTTTTATCTTTCAATTTCGTAGCGCACGTATGGTAACTACCTGGAAATGCTTTTAAAATGTTCCTTAGAAATTTAAGAACAAATAATGCCTTGTTCCCATTTCCAAAAGTTGCACGTTTTACGGAAAAGACGCGTTTACTACAATAAATATGTGTTACCATCTGTCCTATATTTTCTGCTTTTCCGGTACCATGAGCCAATGAACGCAGACTTCTTCATGACGTAACAAATAAAAGTGGCCTTTCCATAGTCTTTTTCAGTTATTATTAGCTGAGTTATTCTAAGAAAGTGTTGAAAAGAATAAGTAAGTTATTAAACATTTGTATATTCTTATCATAGATAGCAATTTTAGTTGAGCATTAACTCATAAAACGTTGTTAAATAGGTATGGTACGGTAACTCCAAGGACTGAAAGAAGGCTGGATGTAGAATAATATGTCTTAAACAACGATATTTTCTTGCTTGTAGGAAAGTTTTATGATTAATTTGATGACGATTCCTGACTATTCAGCAGACTTATACTACTATATAGGCTACGGCATAATTAATTTAGAAAATAATGGCTGTTTGTGTTAGTTATGCCGGAGTGAAAAATCAAGTTGTAGACCGACAGTTGATGTTTTAAATAAAATATAGTCCATAGCAGTGATTGTTGAGGATGATTGCCGTTTAGTGTTGCCACATATTGCTTTTCTTATGCAAATATTCTGATGTATTTAGTCACTGCACATTGGTATTTGTATATTATTTCATTTATTTAGAACTGTTTTAGGTATAGACTTAGTATCCACTTTTGATGACTCGCATTCAATTGACATAATACTTTCTGATTGCAATCTAGTGCCCATACGTAATTGGTATATGGTGCATATTGTGGCAACCTGTTGTTGCGACAGTCTCTTGGTTTATCAGCACTGGTAAAAGGGCCGCACGTTTTTTGTTGCAGATTTAATAATAACTTAGGGTTGTATTTTAGGGAACTTAGGGTTGTGTTTTATGTAGACATGTGTTGAAATAGGGATTAAGTTATTAGGATTGTACCTAAAACTGTATTTATTTTTGCATTTAGTTACATATGTATATCTGATTAAGTAGGATTTGGATGCGTTGCAGTCCAAACTATTTTTAAATCACCTGACCTTACACGAGTGGCCACAATAGCACTTTATGTTGAGTGGTAAAATAAAACAAGTTCGATTCGGAACTGTGTCTGGTTTAGTGCATTGGAATTTCAGCGGCAGTCAGGTTAAGCGTATCCAAACCCAGAAGGCAAGCTCCCATCGTTGACTTATCAGAAGGATTCCTGGCACAACAAATAGGCTACTGGCTGATTGAAGTCAGGGAGTGTGTGCCACAGATATTCACCATACCGATCATCATTTAAAAATAGTACACGGTACCCGACTACCGGTGGATTATGGCGAAAAATATACAATACTCTGAAGTTGCTTCCACGCATTCATCTAGCTCAGCGAAAACAAGACTTTCATCAACATCATCAAAGTGCCTCCAGGCAGAACTGATGCTTCTTGAAGCTCAAGAAGAATTGTTAAGAGAAAAAATAGAAACAGCAATGACAGAAGCGAAGAAGAAGAAGGCTGAGCTACTTCTAAAGGCTAGTTCATCAGGACTTCGTCCAGACATGGCGACTCAGTGGATCTCACGAGATTGCATTTTTCTTCTGATGAAACAGTTCACCAACTACCAATAAGACAATATGCTTCAAATGTAGGTCTCGAACATATGGTTCGTGAGCCTTCAAAATCTACTGTTGTTTGGGAATCTTCCCCTATTACAAGTGAAGGAGTGCTGCAGAGCTGCGGTTCTGTACCACCTGTGTTAACACATGCTACTGGTGCGCATCAGCCAGTAGTAAATTCATATGCAAGGGAAGGAGTGCTGCAGAGCTGCGGTTCTGTACCACCTGTGTTAACACATGCTACTGGTGCGCATCAGCCAGTAGTAAATTCATATGCAAGAGAAGGAGTGCTGCAGAGCTGCGGTTCTGTACCACCTGTGTTAACACATGCTACTGGTGCGCATCAGCCAGTAGTAAATTCATATGGCAGTGGAGGTGTCGTTCAGAGCGGTTTTGCACCATCTGTGTCAACACTTGCTACTGGTGCGCATCAGCCAGTAGTAAATTCATACGAAAGTGGCAATCGTCAAGTTGGCGATGGGATTTATCAGGCGGTACCGAATTCAGCTTTGCCACTTCAAACAGCAACAAGTGCTGTTCCTCCAGATTATGGTGCTATGATTAATGCTCTGCGAGAAGGTTTCACATTGCCCAAAGTTGAACTGATGGAGTTTGATGGAAATCCCCTGCGTTTCCATGCCTTCATGAAGTCATTTGAGACTAACATTCATTGTCACCAACATGCGCCTGAGACAAAGCTTGCACAGCTGATTCAATTGTGTTCTGGCATCGCAAAGGATGCCATCAAGAATTTAGTACTAGTGTCGCCACCAAGCAAGGGCTATCAGATGGCGTGGCAAACCTTACATGAACAGTTTGGTAACCGAACTGTGGTAATTGAAGCTACAAGTAAAGAGGTAACAAATGGTCCCAAGATTATGGACGATGACACTCAAGGACTTTGCAAGTTGGCCACTCAACTGCGTAATTGTGAGATTGTGCTTAGTGAGTGGAATGCAAATTCATTCATGGATGGCTATGAAAATCTTGAGCGTGTATTCTCACGTCTGCCCATGTACTTGCAACGAAAGTATGCGGACCAATTTGATGACAGTAAACTTCCTACATTTTCACACTTGGTTGCATTCGTGGTGAAGAAAGCGCAGCTAACTACTACATTTTATGGTCGGATTGTGACCAAGAATTCTGCCAAACAGAAATCAACTATTCGAGTCACCAAACCTAGGATGACAAGAACTACATCGTATGCAGTCACCAATACCCAAGAGAAGACTCCAGGACCCAAGGTAGCTGATTTGCAGTACAAGTGTGTGGACTGTCAAGGAAATCATGCTTTACACAACTGTGTCGAGTTTAAAGGGAGAAGTGTTAATGATCGCGCCGAAATGGTGAGACGAAATAATCTTTGCTTTAATTGCTTGTATCGTTCTCATCGTGCAAATAATTGTCCTTCTAAATATGTGTGTCAAGTGAATGGCTGTGGTAAATTACATCACAGTTTATTACATGTTGATCAAAAGAAGCCACCAACCACTGGTGCTCATTTTTCTAGCAATGCTAATTCTCAAAATAATGTGTCTGCCCCCAAGAAAGAAAATGGGGCCGGTGCTTATTTCGCAAATGTTAATTGTTCGGAAAATATTCAAAATTTTGTTAGACTTAAGGTTGTACCTGTGGAGGTTACCAGCAATGGTGCTTCTGATGCTGTGTGTACTTATGCCTTTTTAGATGAAGGGTCTACCAGATCCTTGTGCTCCCACAATTTACTTGCAAAATTGGGTATTGAGGGTAAACCTGAAGATTGTATGCTCGCAACAGCGAATGGTAGTAAATTACACAGTGGTAAAACAGTTTCACTGAAAGTAAAAGGTTGTGATTCGGAAAGGGTTGTTGACATTCCCAATGTTTTGGCAATTAATTTACCCAATTTAGAGAGTTCTATCCCGACTGCTAATGTGTTGCAGAAATATCCTCATTTGGGTGATTTGGAATTTCCTGTGCTAGGATCTAGTGAGGTTGATTTATTGATTGGTGCAGAAGTGTTAGCCAATCATCCCATTTCTGAAATTAGGCTTTGTGATCAAAAGGCAAAGTTTCCCGCTGCTCACAGGACAGTATTTGGTTGGGCTCTTTTCGGTCCTGACAGAACTATGTCTCATAGCAGTTGTGAAAGTGTAAGTGATGTTTCATGTCCTCGTCTAAATACTGTGTGTGCATGTGATACTGATCAATTTTTGTGCAAAATTTGTGGTCATGATTTTATAGATTTAGATTGTGATCCCTTCACCACTGAACATTCCCTAGATGATAAGAAAGCTCTTGTAGTGATGAATGACACTGCAGTAAAAGTAAATGGGAGGTACCAAGTTGCTCTTCCATGGAAAGATAAAAATATTAAACTTCCAAACAATCGTCAAATGGCAGTGAAAAGATTAGAGTCCCAAAAACGAAAATTCATTAGGGACCCTGATTTATTTTTTAAATACAAGTCCAAAATTAATGATTACTTAGACAAGGGGTATGCGGAAATAGTGCCTGAGGGTGATCCTGGGTCTCTGGGTAGGACTTGGTATATGCCACACCACTCTACTGGGGCCAAGTTCCGGGTTGTTTTCGATTGCAGTGCGGAGTGCGGCGGCACTTCACTTAACAAGAATTTACTTTCAGGTCCAGACCTAAATACGAATTTGGTGAGTATTCTACTGCGGTTTCGCGAGGAAGCGGTTGCCTTTATTTGTGATGTGCGCGAAATGTATCTACGTGTTATTCTGGACAGTCGAGATCGTGATGCGATGCGTTTTCTGTGGTATCCGAATGACGACTTGGGAAAGAAACCTATTGATCTGCGAATGTGTTCGCATGTTTTTGGCGCGACGTCGAGTCCTTCGATTGCGTCATTTGTGTTGAAACGTGTCGCTGATGACAATCTAACGAATGCTGATCTGGAAACGATACAGACAGTGCAACGCAGTTTTTTCGTTGATGATGGTGTGAAGTCGAAACGTACCGTCGATGAAACACTTCAATTGATAAATCAGCTGATCGAATTACTCGCATCGGGTGGGTTCTGTCTTACAAAGTTTGCTTGTAATAAAATTGAAGTAATGGAAGCGATTCCCGAGGCGGATCGCTCTAACCGCAACGAAAGCGCTTGACTTTAGTACAGAGTTGACTGAACGTACGCTGGGAATTTATTGGAACATGGTGCACGATGTCTTCAAGGTTCGGGTGGAAATTGAGTTTCGACCCTCAACGCGCCGTGGCATGCTCAGCATGCTTGGCCAGGTATATGATCCATTGGGGTTTATTCAACCGTTTTTGATTCCCGCAAAGCGCATTTTGCAGGATTTGTGTTTTTTGGGTTACTCGTGGGATGATCCTGTCGAGGGAGACTTGTATGATGGTTGGGAGAAATGGATCAGCACCTTGCCTAGTTTGAGGGAGTTGACTATACAACGTTGCTACAAACCGGAAGGATTTGAGGCGGCGAATGTGCAGCTTCACTGTTTTTGCGACGCAAGTAGAGTGGGCTACGGTGCAGTAGCGTACCTTAGGTTGGAGAACGAATCCGGCGAGGTTCACTGTGCATTTGTAAAGGGTACTGCGCGTGTTACCCCCAAGAAGCTAGTGACAATTCCACGACTAGAATTGACGGCGGCAGTCGTTGCTACAGAACTTGCTCATTCTGTCACAAATGCACTAGACTATGAGATACACGAAACTTGTTATTGGACAGACTCGATGACTGTGTTGCAGATGTTGAATAGTAGATCACAGCGCTTTAAGACTTTTGTAGCCAATCGGGTTAATATTATTCAATCAATCTCTGATGTGTCGCAGTGGTCTCATGTTCCAACAAATGAAAATCCAGCAGACATCGCTTCTCGTGGCCTTATGCCAGATAAGCTGGATAAGGCAAAATTATGGTTTCAAGGTCCGAGTTTTTTGTGGCAACAAAGTGTTTCATGGCCTGGCACTTCATCAGTGTCAGATACCATACCAACTAATTCCGATTTACATTGTGAAATTAAGGTGAATCTTGTTGAAGTTCAAAAGAGATCCCAGTATTTTCCTGAGTTAATAAATCGCTATTCAACGTGGGAAAAATTGTCGAGAACAATTGCATGGATGTTGCGTTTTAAGTTTTTTATTTTGTGGAAAACCTGTCGATCAAATGACTCTCCAATGACTGGAGATTTAACTGTTACGGAACTTAGTGTAGCAACTATTCAGATCTGCAAGTTGGCCCAAATTGAATCGTTTTCTCCAGAGCTCGAATATTTTAGTGAGCGTGTACATGACGGACCAGACTACTTGAGCAGTGGTTGTAAGTTGCCTACATCACCACATTCTAAGGCTCTCATTAAACTTAGCCCATTTTTAGACAATGATATTTTGCGGGTGGGTGGCCGTCTTCGACACTCACATTTATCACCGGAGCAGAAGCATCCAATAATATTACCACCTCATCATCATGTAACAAAATTGATAATAGAGTATTATCATCGGCAAAATGGTCATTCTGGTACATTGCACACTCTTTCCTCTGTGCGGGAAAAATTTTGGATTCTTTGTGGACAGGCGGAAGTTCGTAAGGTGCTGAATGCTTGTAAATTGTGCAAGTTGAGGGCGAGTAGACCTGGTTCACAGTGGATGGCTCCTCTGCCAGAGTCGCGTGTTCTGGGTGGTCGCACTCCTTTCTATCACACTGCTGTAGATTACTTTGGCCCATTGAAAGTCAAATTGGGACGTAAGGAATACAAGCGGTATGGATGCATATTCACCTGTTCAGTCACTAGGGCTGTTCATATTGAGGTCTCGGAATCACTTGATGCATCTGCATTTTTGCAGGCCTTTTTTCGATTTTGTGATAGGCGTTCAAAACCATCCCATGTAATTTCAGATAATGGCACAAACTTTGTGGCTGGTGAGAGACTTCTTGCTGAGGGGATTTGTAAGTGGAATCAGAGTCAAATTGCAAATTCTCTGTCACAACATGGAATTCAGTGGGATTTTCAACCGCCTTTAGCACCTCACCAGAATGGCTTGGTTGAGATAATGGTCCGGGAGGCAAAAAGAGTTCTTTATGCGATTTGTGCTAAATCACGAACATTTACTGATTTTTCGCTCATCTCCATGCTGACTGGGGTAGAAAGAATTCTGAATGATCGCCCATTGACACCTATTAGTGATGATGCAAGGGATTTGGAGGTTCTGACACCAAATTCCATTTTGACTGGAAATCTTGATCCCTCTATTGCTCCCGATAAGTTTACGCGCGGTGACGAGTTTCGCGAAAATTGGAGACATGTCCAGCTCAGTCTTGATCGATTCTGGAATCGCTGGACAAAGGAGTATTTACCGCTATTGCAAAAGAGACAGAAATGGCTCTTTCCTGAGAGAAATTTGAAAGTGGGTGACATTGTGCTTCTGTATGGCGACGATACTCCGCGCGGCGTTTGGCCCAAGGGTAGAGTGATTGAGGTATTTCCCGATAAGGATGGGATGGTTAGGAGGGTTAAGGTTCATACTAGGAATTCTGATCTAGTTCGTGATGTTAGGAAACTCTGCCTACTTGAAGCTGCTTAAGCTTCTGTCCTTTATTGCCAAACATGTTCAGTGGTCCAGGTCATTTTTTTGTATATGTTGTTTCATTTCATGTTCTCAGTATGTTATTTTATTGCATGTTTTCATTGTGTTCGATTGTTGGATAAATCATCCTCATTGTTTAAAATAATTTTGTGAACAAAATGATTGGGGCCGGTGTGTTGAGGATGATTGCCGTTTCATTCCTAATAAGGCAGTGCATATAGTGTTGCCACATATTGCTTTTCTTATGCAAATATTCTGATGTATTTAGTCACTGCACATTGGTATTTGTATATTATTTCATTTATTTAGAACTGTTTTAGGTATAGACTTAGTATCCACTTTTGATGACTCGCATTCAATTGACATAATACTTTCTGATTGCAATCTAGTGCCCATACGTAATTGGTATATGGTGCATATTGTGGCAACCTGTTGTTGCGACAGTCTCTTGGTTTATCAGCACTGGTAAAAGGGCCGCACGTTTTTTGTTGCAGATTTAATAATAACTTAGGGTTGTATTTTAGGGAACTTAGGGTTGTGTTTTATGTAGACATGTGTTGAAATAGGGATTAAGTTATTAGGATTGTACCTAAAACTGTATTTATTTTTGCATTTAGTTACATATGTATATCTGATTAAGTAGGATTTGGATGCGTTGCAGTCCAAACTATTTTTAAATCACCTGACCTTACACGAGTGGCCACAATAGCACTTTATGTTGAGTGGTAAAATAAAACAAGTTCGATTCGGAACTGTGTCTGGTTTAGTGCATTGGAATTTCAGCGGCAGTCAGGTTAAGCGTATCCAAACCCAGAAGGCAAGCTCCCATCGTTGACTTATCAGAAGGATTCCTGGCACAACAAATAGGCTACTGGCTGATTGCAGTCAGGGAGTGTGTGCCACAGATATTCACCATGCCGATCAGTGATTTTCAACCTTTTTTGTACCGCGGAACACTTTTTTTAATTTAAAATTGTGGCGGAACACCAAACAAGATTTTTGGAAATAAACTGCATTATACAATTAATTGACATCGATCATTTCGGCATGAAAATAAAATAACGAAATTAATAATATAGCTTATCAAATTTGACACATTCTAATTCAGAGCTACAAGAGCTAAAGTACGGTACAAATAAATGTTTTTGCGAGTTTGCTTATGAATACTATGATTAGTTAGAAACAGAAATGGTATTTTAATGTGATATCTCTCAACGGCTATCGATTTCTTGCGTTTTTGATACGCAACAGGAGTCCAAAATGTTGCAGGTCGATTTGGAAATTAATAGAAACATTGAAAATTGGCAACAAAGCGATTTTTACTGTTCAATTTCGTCATAATCGTAATAATTCTTCATTTCGTCATAAACGAGATGCACACATTTATTAAGACAATAATTGAGTTTCTTATGCTCCACACTGGTGTCAGTGTTATTTCCGAAATAAATCAATCAGATACTGTGATTAGATAAATCTGTGATTGCGTGAATCCTGAATGTTGATTTAAAAGCTGAAATAAAGGCATTTCTACGTGGTCATTAGGCGAGATGACGATGAAGAGCACTTCTTTAACGAAATCTTACATACGCGACCTGATGCCAAAAAACTTGTAAACAATTTTGTGCCCAATTGCTTTTGTGCCTAGTACATTTGTTCTCAAACTGGGGTCCGCGAAGCGATTTTAGGGGGACCGCGAGACAACATCAACTTCGGTACATGAGCACTTTGATTTGAAGCAAAATTTTGATGTAATGCTTTTACAGCATCGACTTCCTCGTTTACTTCGTGACATTGATTAATCAGCAAGATGCAGAAAGTGACGTAACAATGCTCCCTTTTCGCATCCGCTCAGACACTTTTCTCACTCAGACAGATTTTCAAGCGTGGTCGTAAACATTACCTCGCTTTCGCGTTTTTGAACTCTATTCGTTAGTTTTCTGTTGTGTTTCGGACATTTAAATATAAATCAAATAATTCAGTGATCACTTTGTCTTCCTAGGAGTTTTAATTTAATTGCAGTAATAAAAAATTATTGTAGAATGAGAGTGTAGAATGAGCATTTACACGCTCATTGAGTACATCAGATAAAGTGTATTATATATCAGTATGAGTAGTATTAGACTATTAGTCAGTATTTAGTGGTATTTTTACACTCATGCTGTTCCAAATATGATTTTCTTCCTCATTTTAGATACTGTACCGCAAAAGAAAAAGGCAATGTTCCACCAATCCAACCTAACGCAGGCTCTAATCCCTGCTGCTATCCTATATATAAAATTGATCGAATATACCGATATGAGAATAATAACAATTGCAAATAGCCTAGATGGGCTATTCATAATGATTTACTTTGGCACTTTTCTGCAATTGAAACTGCTCATCAAACTGATGTTAGAAAACTTTATTGAGTTTTTCAATTCATTTTTTTCTCAACTATGAAGATCCTTTGAGGTTAACGAGGCATTAATAAATAAAGCTGAGGAATTTGTTTGAGTACTGTATATAGAGAGGATATGAAGCATGTGAATGATACCGGGACACGTCAAACATATGGATTATACTCTTCCACCCAACAATGATTCACTGAAGAAGCATGTTCTGAGGGCAAATTACCAGGCAGGACTTTATCACTGTTGCCTAGAACCAATGCTCACGATGTTAATTTGTGACTTCTTTGCTTAAAAATAAATACGTTTGATAGCTTCTATAAAATGAATGCAACTTCTTATGCTCTGTATTGTTGTAAACTGCTTGTCTGAGGAAGTCTGATTTTGGTCAGACAAGACGTTACAGAAATACGTTTGTGTTGGTGTGCAGCAGGGCTCTTGAATTTCTTATGCTGTGCTGTTGTAAACCTATCTTTATTGCTTTTCTAGGAACGCCTAATATTAAATTTCGCATCAGGATTGTGGGAAAAGCGTTCAGTATGTTCATTTTCATACAAAACTAAAGAATTTATTTAGTTACCAGATGTGCGCTACGAAACTCATTGTCCGGGCGTTTTCAAGGCCTCGTCTCACAGTCTACATCCATGGTAAAGATTTACAAGTCTTCAATAACTTACTTATAGGATGGGATTTACATGTTTATTCCGGGGGAGAGGAAAGCCGACAAGACGGCTTAATCATATGGCGAACCACGGCCTCTTGTCCGGTTACCAGTTCAGGTCGGGTATGGAATTAGTTAACCATTTATTTGAATTCGGAAGCATGGACTTGATGGTGGAGGAAGCCGTAACAGCTTAATAACTTTATAATTTTAAAATCCTGGAGTAAGCAACTTGAACATACTACACTAATTATTCTCACCACTTGGCAACAATCGGACAAACGTCGTCCTTCTGTCCTTTCTATTTAATTCAAACGTTACATGTTATAAACATGTTTAATTTGTTATTCGAATAATTTAATTACCGGTACATATGGTACGGTACCGGAAGATGAATACAATATCAAATGAGTTTTATCAATCTCACATCACAGCATCAATAATATATTTTACTTACTTCTAAGCAATGAGCATATATACCAGGGGTGGGCACAATTTTTCAGTATAAGAGCCGCATGCTGTAAGTCAGAACTTTAAAAGAGCCGCAGAATTTGTGAATTTATTAATATTATCAAAATACCATGAACAGAAAAGAAATTCACACAAGAGGCTAATAACAATAAATAGATAAACAAGGCAGCTATACTCAAATATATGCACAATTTAATTTGTGTTTCCTTATAGCTGATTTAGGAGGGTAGTCTCGTAAGAAGTTTTCATGATTCGTTTCATGGTGCCGTTTAACATTGCTGACTTTATTCTGACTTAGTAGCTTATGACAGATTAAGCACAAAAGTTTATTCTTCTGACTGGTAAATTCGTACGTTCTTCCCATTCTGACTTGACAACTCTGTTTTCATCTTCGTACTTTCGTTTTTAATTGAGAACATATCGCACAGTAACTTAGTTAGACTAACTAACCGCAATCAAGCTGCAATACCGCCGACGCATCAATAAACATTGACCATTGTGACGAAAGATTTGCTGACTTGACTGACTTAAATTCAAAATTCAACGCTACAGCAACTTTCATACTAAAACATAATTTGTCCTAATCATTGACGAAAACTTCTTTACGCCTTTTTAATAAATTGAAAAAGTTTACATTGAAGTTTTTTTCTTAGTTGAAATTTGGATAATAATTTATGTTAGCGAGAAAAGCCGCACAAAAATTCTGGCGAGCCGCATGAGGCTCGCGAGCCGCGGTTTGCGGGGTTTGCCCACCCCTGATATATACGCTCATTGGTTTGTCTGATGACAGTAGGCGCGTCAGCACAGCACAGCTGCTTCCGCGAACTATGAACTGTGCAGCCTTTTTCAATACTTATTTAGGGTAGTTATAAAATGGCTATGTCCCATATGTCCGCTATGTCCCTACTAAAATGGCTATGTCCGCTATGTCCCTACTAAAATGGCTATGTCCCATCTAAAATTGCGACTCCGATATTTTCCTACTAAAATGACTATGTCCGCTATGTCCCTACTAAAATGGCTATGTCCCTACTAAAATGGCTATGTCCCATCTAAAATTGCGACTCCGATATTTTCCTACTAAAATGACTATGTCCGCCATGTCCCTACTAAAATGACTATGTCCGCTATGTCCCTACTAAAATGGCTATGTCCGCTATATCCCTACTAAAATGGCTATGTCCCATCTAAAATTGCGACTCCGATATTTTCCTACTAAAATGACTATGTCCGCTATGTTCCTACTAAAACGGCTATGTCTCTACTAAAATGGCTATGTCCCATCTAAAATTGCGACTCCGATATTTTCCTACTGAAACGGCTATGTCCCTACTAAAATGGCTATGTCCCATCTAAAATTGCGACTCCGATATTTTCCTACTAAAATGACTATGTCCGCTATGTCCTTACTAAAATGGCTATGTCCGCTATATCCCTACTAAAATGGCTATGTCCCATCTAAAATTGCGACTCCGATA